TTAACACTACTTAACTGCTATTAATATTTTATATTTATTATATCAGTTACATCTGGGAATAGGTGTGATGTGTGCTGGAATTTTTTGTTTTTTGTTCGGAAAAACAAATTTAAATATTGTCGAGTATTTAGTGTGTTGATCATATTTCAGGTTAGAAAATACACAAAATGCAGAAATGTCAATTCTATAGATCCTATTAATCCTCTAGAATTTACTTTCAAGAAACTTTTAATAGCCAACAGAGGAGAAATAGCTTGCAGGATAATAAATACAGCCAAAAGAATGGGTATTAAAACTGTAGCAGTATATTCTGTAGCTGATGCACAAGCTGTAAGTACAAATATATTTCTTAATTGAGTTACTAATAAATCCCTTACGAAAATTCCTGCTTTGAAATTTTAACAAATGGCATGGTCGCTTACTGGAGTGTAGATTTTAGAACTATCTTCCCAAAAAAGTATTCTTCATTTATCCCGGCATACGATCTTTTCAGACCTTCATTAACAAACTACCTCTGCTTTCGGTGGGTAAGGAATTAAATACCCACTTTGACAGTCAGGCCAAGCTGTAAAACTTTTAGACAAACACCACTTTGATCTTGTGCTTTATAAATTATTGTAAATTTCCAGCTTCACGTGAAATTAGCAGACGAAACAGTTTTTATCGGAAACTCGCCAGCTTCAGAATCTTACTTAAACAAAACGAACATCATAGAAGCCGTCAAACTAACAAAAGCTGAAGCTGTTCATCCTGGCTATGGATTTCTCTCGGAAAACGCCGAATTTGTGGAAATGCTGGTGAGAATCAGATTAGAAGTAAAGACAGTTTGTTTTAAACCATAATTTATTACACCAGGAATACGAAAGAGTTGCTTTCATAGGTCCATCATCAGATGCCATTAGACAAATGGGTGATAAACTGGAGTCAAAACGTCAAGCCATGTCGGCTGGTGTGAATACTATACCAGGACATGACGGTATAGTTGAGGATGCAGAAGAATGTGTGAAAATAGCTAGACAGATTGGCTATCCCGTCATGATCAAGGCTTCAGCAGGAGGTGGTGGAAAAGGAATGAGAATATCCAGAAGCGATCAAGAAACAAGGTTTTGTTATTTATTTTTCATGTCATTCAGTGTTTTGTATTTAAATATCTATTTCCAGAGATGGTTTTAAGCTATCGACACAAGAGGCAATATCAAGCTTTGGAGACAATCGAATATTAATAGAAAAATTTATAGAGAAACCTAGGCATATCGAAATTCAGGTACTGGGAGATAAATTTGGTAATATTATTTATTTAAATGAAAGAGAATGTAGCATACAAAGGCGAAATCAAAAAGTCATTGAAGAGGCACCAAGGTAAGTAACAGACTTTCTGAAGATTATTGTTACCTACTTTTTTGTTTTTGTTTTTTTAGCTCTTTTTTAGATCAAACTACTAGGGAATTAATGGGCCAACAAGCTGTTTCACTGTGTCAAAATTTAGGATATTTTTCAGCTGGAACCATAGAGTTTCTTGTTGACGAAAACAAACACTTTTACTTTTTAGAAATGAACACAAGATTACAAGTAGAGCATCCAGTGACAGAATGCATAACAGGAATTGATTTAGTGCAGCAGATGATAAAGATAGCTAAAGGTTACAAATTGAATATTAAACAAGAAGAAATAACGATTAATGGTTGGGCTTTTGAAAGTAGAGTGTATGCGGAAGACCCTTACAAATATTTTGGATTGCCTTGCACAGGTATGTTGAACTACATCCAAATTAAAGCGTCTGAATCTCTCCAGAATTATCTTCTCTATATTAATTTTCACTTTAAAGGGTTCAAAAATAATTATCTCATATGGGTAATTTTTCAAAATTTATTGTATCTACTTTGTTGTCTGAAAGTATAACCGATAGTTTTCGGAACTGTTAAACTGATTCCATCTACTATTCTATAACAATTAATACCCTACTGAATAATGCAGATGATTTGTTTACCTTTTAGGTAGATTACATAAATACAAAGAACCTCAACATTTACCCAGCATACGCTGTGACAGTGGTATAGAAGAAGGAACAGCAATTAACATATACTATGATCCAATGATTTGTAAGTTAGTGTCACATGGTAAAGACAGGAAAGAAGCTATCCAAAAACATTTAATTGCTTTAGACAGTTATGTTATCCGTGGTGTTACCCATAATATTCCTCTATTGAGAAATATTCTAACCCAAGAAAAGTTTTGCAAAGGAGATATTAATACCAACTTCTTATTTGAAACTTATGGAGATGGATTTAAAGGTAGGTATAATATTGAAAATACATTTTTCTATAGACAAACAGGAATATAATCCCAAATATTCAGCCTTCCAGCTCCTCCAATTATCTTTTAATTCAATAACTTTTTTTATATTCATCACTTATAAAATTAAATATTTTTTTATAATATTATATTTCGGTGTGCGTGTGTTATAATAAATAAAATATTTAATTCAATAAATATATTTTGCTAGCAAAGTCTGTGGCAGGACACCCAACATTAGTGCGTCTGTTAGCGAATTATCAGATCAGCTAAATGCGGCATGTGGAAAAAATTCATATGGATTCATGAACGTGTTTTTATATTTCGAATTATAGGTACATGCTTGGTATATGACTTTTAGTATCATCTAAAGGTGCGTACAGATATAACGCGCCGGGCCGCGTATTTCCATACTATAATTTTGTGTAGATCACACCTTTGTCTCTACCGTAGTAGGCTATGTAATATCATTTGCGTCAATAAACCAGGAGATGTATACCGAGATCCACACAAAACCGATTGGTTTGGATACGGAGTGAAGCTGGGGACAGTGTTAAAAACCGTTAAAATAACTCCTAATACTAAAAATTATATATATGAAGTTGCAGAACAACTGCGGGACGCAATTATAATATCATATCACAATGACTGCTCGTTAAAGAACAGAAAAACCTCTAGGGAGATGATCTGGTGGACCACCGAACTCGCCAAACTCAAAGGGAAAACACGTAAACTTTTTAATAAGGCTAAAAAGACGAATGAGTGGGGTAAATACACCGAAACATTCACAGAGTATAACAAAACTCTTAGGAAATCTAAGAGGGATTCATGGAGAACATTCTGTCAGGAAATTGAAAATACAACTGAAGGATGCAGACTCCACCGCATTCTAGCAAAAGATCCAATAAACCCTGTGGGGACTTTAAAAACCCAAACAGGGGAATTGGAAGGATTGGAAAAACTGATTGATCAGCATGTCCGGCAAACCACTCTGATAGGGAGGCCATTTCATACAAACCAACATGCCTATCAATCAGGAAAATCTTGTAAGTCTGCTTTGCATCATCTTGTAACCAAGATAGAGGGAGGACTCAGTAGCCAAGAAATAGTCCTAGGAGCATTTCTTGACATAGAAGGAGCTTTTGATAATACCTCCTTTAAATCAATGGTAGCTGCCGCTCGCAAACATGGAATAGAAGACACCATCTGCTGGTGCATAGAAGACATGTTATGCGGACGACAAGTACAGGCACAAATGTTCAGTGAAACCATGCAGGTGAATATCCACATGGGATGCTCACAGGGTGGAGTCCTTTCACCTTTACTGTGGAACCTAGTGATAGACGAACTGCTGAAAACACTTAACAATCAAGGGCTGTATGCCCAAGGATATGTCGATGACATAGTCATCCTTATCCGAGGGAAACACCAAACCACAGTCTTTAAACTCATGCAAAGAGCTCTTAGGTTGACAGAAATGTGGTGCGTTAGGGAAAACCTCTTGGTAAACCCTGACAAGGCACAACTCATAACCTTCACTCGAAAAACAAAATTGGAGGTTTTAGAAACTCCGACTTTGTTTGGAGAAAGGCTAAACAAAACGAACCAAGTAAAATATCTGGGTCTAATCCTAAATAGCATACTTACTTGGAACCAACAAATGTAAAATGTCTCTCATTTTAGGGAGACGGGCATTTGGAAAACCATGGGGATTAAAACCAAAAATGGTCCACTGGCTATATTTGGCAATAACAAGATCCATGATAACTTATGGAGCGGTTGTTTGGTGGCCTAAAGCAAACCATAAAACAGTCCTCAATACCCTCTCAGGTGTACAGAGGCTGGCATGCCTTTGTATTACAGGAGCACTGAGAAGTACACCGACACAGCCTCTATGGAAATCATTCTAAACCTCCTACTCCTTGACTTAGTCATAAAGGGGGAGGCCAGAATGAGTGCATACAGACTGGAAATCTCCAACAACTGGAACCCCGTAGGACATATAAAACATACCAGAATAACACATGAAGTAAATGATTATATATTAAATATGGGATCAAATCACATGACACCCCTCCTAACCTTTAACAGACTCTTCCAGGTCAACTGTAACTGGAACGAGGTAAATAAGGAGATAGATAAATACTTGCTTAGCGGCCTCGTATGGTATACGGATGGATCTAAAACTAACAAGGGAACAGACTCTGGCGTATATGGAGTTAAACCCAAATGCGACATCATCGTCTCACTGGGAAAACATGCCACTGTATTTCAGGCTGAAATACATGCAATCGAATTGTGTGTACGAGAGAATTTAAGAAGGGAGTACAAAAAGCAAACCATCCTAATTCTCTCAGATAGCCAGGCAGCTTTAAAGGCTCTTGATTCAAACAGAATTAAGTCAAAGCTTTTTAACTGAATGTGTAGCACTCCAGAATCCAAGGGCACTATATCTAGGAGGATATCAAATAGGGAGATTTACCTAACTTGAAGCCACTTCAAATCCTACACTTCTTGAGAAAATAAGATTGGAAGGGTCGCTATAGGCATTGAGACATTTCCTTAGTGCAGTGGCGACAGAAGGAGGTACAATAGATCTTTTAGGTCGCAGTGTATTAACACCCCATTCTCAACATAACATAAGTCAAAGCTTGTCTGGAACTGCCTTGGAATACCAAATGATCTGGCAACCCACAACAAGGTAAAACTGGCGTGGGTACCAGGGCACAAAGGTATCCAAGGAAATGAAAAGGCTGATGAACTCGCCAAAGAGGGATCAGATCTACCATTCACAGGACCCGAACCTGTATTTGGGATAAGCAAAATATCTGCTCGACAGGCAGTGAACAGGTGGATAACCAAAAACACCAAATTCAGTGGCAACATATAAGAGGGCATACAATCTCTATTGCAATTAGGCATTCCAAACAAATGAATTACCAGTGGGCAGGTTTGGTATATCTAAGGGTGGCGACATATGGTGTATTCTATCTACTTTACGTAAAATCATGAATAATGCATTTCATTTAATAATTTTATGTCAAACACAATAAAAATAATATTTAAAAACCCACCTCTACATTTCTTCATAAATTGGCAGGCTTGGCGAGTACTACTTCGAATAAAAATAGCGTCCAAGTTGCAAGACTATGTCGCTACCCCCTTACATATACAAGAATTTCCTTCTGGCACCTATTGTTTGACAGGTCGTTGGAATGCCTAATAGGAAAATAAAAGTACTGCAGTCATACTGAAAACGGTATTGACTGAAAATGAAAAGTACTGACAGTTGCTTCATCTGAAACGACAAACAAAAATATTCTTAGAGATGCCAAAAAATCATTTAAAATCTAGCCACAAACTGTATATAAAACTGCCCCAATTCGAGTTATTTTCTGCAAAAACAACCAAATTTTTTTACAAATTATGCAATAACTTGAATTAGGGCGCTTTTATAACCGTAATCATTAATTTTAACAGCAAAATGTCGGTTTTTAAATAAAATATAAAGATTTTATGTCAAAAACAATATAAAGGAAACAAAATTTTAAAATGAAATTTCTCGAAACAATAGTATTTGATTGAGCCATCGATATGAGTGCCATTTGCATTTATTTAACATAGAAGGTCTGAACAGGGATTCTTATGTGCGTACTCAACACGAATTGAATAGAGAGAGACATTACATACGAATCGCATTCTGTGGAACGAAGATAGTCGTCTCAACACGTGCCGAATTGGGAGATGAGAATCCCAATGGTGTTCTGGTTTTGAGAAATAACGATCCACAACTGTCGGGTTCATGCGCAGTAGATAAAAAGTGTTCTGGTTTTTCTCGAAATACTTCTGATTTCCCAGTCCAGTGTTTTGGTTTCGTATCCGAAATAAACCGTGATTGTTGTAAACAGTCAAAATGTGTTCATGCTTCGGAGTGTGGATCGACTCAGACTGTTTTGACCGCGCATGCGTTGTTGAAGTGTTATAAATATTGTATTAGTTTTTAAGACCATACAGAATGTATACAATCCCATATAGTTTATTTATGTGTGGATGAATGCATCTAGTTCTTCTTTTATTTGTAAATTGAGGCAATTTTACATTTATTTTTTAAAATTATTCTTCCGTTTTTTTTATTTTATTGAAATGTGATAAGGATGATAATGATGAACATATACATGCAAAAGTTATTTGAAGGAAATGCATTATTTAAATAAACAATAAACAAAACATCTTTATGTCTTTATGTGTTCTGGTTTTTCAACAATCTCAAACAGTCGGGGATTTTTTGCCTAGACGCGCACGGCCAGCGCAGTTTCAAAACTGTTTCTATTTTGAGAACCAGAACAAACCTGGAATTAATAAAAAAAAAGCACAAATCAGTTGTCATTGTCAAAAATTGTGCGCCCTAGCGCCAGAACCAGTGTTTTTTTGTCATTACTTTCATAGTAAATCTATTACTTTTTTGGTTAGAATTATTACGTTTTTCTAAAATCTATTATTATTCATTCAAGCAAAATGCTTTGGTAAATTCTCCCTCATGCACAATCAATTTAATCCATTTCCAGTGAGCATAATTTAAAAATATTATTATCTTTAAATCGCACATGCTTAAACAGTTTGAATTAGATCTGGAACAATCCAACTGATGGATTTTTTGTGAGATACAAAAAAAGTAAATTTTGAAATATGCGCACTAACAACAATAGACCACATGACATTTATAGAGTAGCAAAGCATGTAGAGTAAGTGAACAATATTTTTATTTTACTTTACCGCAAACCATTTGCCTTAAAAACAGAAAAAGGTACTGAAGCATGAAAAGTAGCACTGACGTACTGACAATGGCCAAAAAGCACTGATTTCAGTACTTTAGCACTGACACTGGCAACGCTGAGTATAATATGTAATCCCCAACGGCGTATTTGTATACTATACAAACTCTATTCAAGTACAGGATCGCGTCATTATGTCTTAGCCATGCCACACAATCTTTGACGTTGTAATAAATGTAACAAAATATTTCCCGTAATAATATTTTATAATCTTTATTTTATTGTTTATTAAAATTAAAATGCATCATGATGTTTTTCTATTTCTAATATGTAAACTATTAATTACCTAACTCTTTACTTAGCCCTTACAGAGAGCGTTTTGTAATGAATCACAAGGGTGTTGTAGTAACCATTATGTGCACCCATCAGAAAATTTTAATATTACTAAATTAATGTTGGTAGTTCTTAGTTGTAGTGAAATGTTAAAGTCGTTGCCACTAAAACAATAGATAATAATTAGAAAATTTACTTTTAAACACTAATAAATATTATTTTATATTATAATAAATAAATAATTTATATTATATTATCTTTATTTCAACATATTTTATAATATTTATTTTAATGTTTATTATAATAAAATTGTATTATTGGGAATAAACATTTATACTTCATTTGCCTATTATAAAATAGGTACTGCTAATTCCAAGTAAAGGAAGTATTATGTTCAACGAATAATTTAAAAGTTCTGTAATCGAGTAGAGTTTATAGTTTATAAATACGCCATTGCCGACTATATATTATACTACTTTACAGAATAGAGCGATGTCTGCATCGCAGTACACATTGTAATGTGGCGTAACTTTAAAAGATGCTACATAGCCTACTACGGTACAGACAACGGCCTGCTCTGCACAGTAGTATACTACGGAAATACGCCGCCGGGCCGCGTATTTCAATAGTATTCTATTGTGTAGAGCATGCCTTTGTCTGTACCGTAGTAGGCTATGTAATATCATTTGGCGCGAGCCGCATTACAATCTGTACTGCGATGCAGACAGCGCTGTGCTCTGAAAGCTAGTATAATTTGTAATCCCCAACGGCGTATTTGTATACTACAAACTCTACTCAAGTACAGATCGCGTCATTATGTTTTGGCCATGCCACACAATCTTTTACGATGTAATAATTGTAAGACCACATTATTCCTGTCAGTGCAAGTTTACTTTTCTGTGGAGTCTGTCATAGATACTTTGTTAGCAATAAATTGTAAAAACAAAATATTGCAAATTTTAAAAAGCTTTTGCCATGAAGATGATCAGCTCTTTGGCTGGAATTTTAAAGATTTGGAAAATGTAGCTACTAGCATTCAATATCTTTGTACCGATAAAAAACTTTTGCAGAATATTACAAGAATGTTAAAAGTAATTGAAGAAAATAAATCAGTAGTAATGAACAATGCTGTTAAAAAACTTAATCAAAAATTAAGTAAACTAACGACCCCCTCGGAATATAATAAGCTTTTTTCATAATAATAAAAGCGTACAAAGACAAAGGACTATAAGAGTACAAAACGCATCTCTATAAGTGGGAGAAGAGTTCGACCTGGAATGACTTCGGGGGCTAAATCAATACAAGCTGGAAGACCAGCAAATTCCTCAACTATTAAAAGGAAGCCTTACTGCCTGAGATCCCTGTCGAGAAATGGTACAATTAATAGACCCAATACTAAATCTCATTGAGTACCTACTCGTCCATAGCAATAAATATTTATTTATTCAATCTGATGATGTCTATTTTGTTTTGTAATAATATTTTATAATCTTTATTTTATTATTTATTAAAATTAAAATACATCATGATGTTTTTCTATTTCTAATATGTAAACTATTAATTGCCTAACTCTTTACTTAGCCCTTACAGAGAGCGTACTGTAATGAATCATAAGGGTGTTGTAGTAACCATTATGTGCACATATCAGAAAATTTTAATATTACTACATTTATGTTAGTTGTAGTGAAATGTTAAAGTCGGTGCCACTAATACAATAGACAATAATTACAAAATTTACTTTTAAACACTAATAAACGTTTAACCTAATATTATTTATTACATTTTTTATATATTATATTATCTTTATTTCAACATATTTTATATTTATTTCTATGTTTATTATAATAAAATTGCATTATTGGAAATAAACATTAATACTTCATTTACCTATTATAAAATAGGTACTGCTAATCCCAAGTAAAGGAAGTATACGTACCTACAACGAATAATTTCATAGTTCTGCAATCGAGTAGAGTTTGTAGTTTATAAATACGCCATTGGCGACTACATATTATACTACTTTACAGAACAGAGCGATGTCTGCATCGCAGTACACATTGTAATGTGGAGTAACTTTAAAAGTTGGTACATAGCCTACTACGGTACAGACAACGGCTTGAGGCAGTTGGATGAAAGGACAGACCGACCGATCGGACAGACGGACTTTTAGAGTTTCTTAAAATGTTTAAATTTAAAATAAATTTTAAACTTTGTTAGAGTATCTATTATAATCAATTATGTCTTCTTGCAGGTACAATTTTAAAAAAGACAGACATACATAAACTTCTTACCATTGGTTCTGCTTTTTTCATAACGGATTTTATTAGAAATACAAATTTCAATGAGAACAAAACAAAAGAAAATTGTTCATGGAAGCTTAACGTAGAACTCAATAATCAAAAATATTATTGTGGTATTGACAATGAACCTGAAGACTTTATTGTAAAAATAGGCAATAAAAAATATAACATTAATAAAAAATCAATCCATTTAACCAAACCAGTTTTAAAAGTATTAATAAATAATGAAGATAATGTCGTGCAATTAATTTCAAGAGGACCAACTGGAAATTATAATATTATGTAAGTATTTTTTAAGTTAACTCAATAGTGACTTTATAGGGCCTTTACTGTCTCTTGGTATTTTTTTATAAAATTAATTTTATAACACATATTATCAGTTTGTGGGCACAATACTTTTTAGAAACCAAGTATTTTAACATCCTGAAACTCTACAATCTATTTTCTATGTAGCTAAAACTAATTGGTTTTTATTGTTTTTCCTGCAATTTTTAATGAAATGCTATATCGATTGTTCAATTTAAAAATAGTTTATTTTTAATTTATTTACACAAGTACTAATTAATTTAATTATACTTTAGCACTGTTATAATTCGCACTTCTAATTAATTTTTTTAATTCACATTTGCTTTACAACATTTATATTCAAACTTCTGTTTATAAACTTCAACTGACCTGCTCAACAATGTTGCTCAATTTATATAAAGCAAGCTGGAGAATATTTTCGGCGGTCTAAAAAAATCTGGAAATCCTTCCTCTATGAGTCAGCAGAGTGCAAAGATTTATCCAGTAACTTCTTAAAAGAGTGAATTTGTCTCTACCATCCAGCTGATTAGAAATATAGTCGGCAGCTATAGTCTATTCTTATGTATGAGAGAGTATTAAAATAATAAAGCGTTCGTAATCCATAGGCGTAGCACTTCTTTTAGTAGACAGTTAAAATATTTTTTGAAGTTATTCCTCGAGTATACACTTATATTTTCACCTAATTAACCTGCTTATAACTTCTAAACAGCTGAACGTAAAAAAGTGCAATTTTTTCTAAAATGTTTTATTTTTCCACAAGGTATGTTAAGAACATTGTGTCAAACGGGTTATGTAGGTATAAGGGTTTAAACTTTGACTTTTAAACAACGTTACGTTCATATATAATAATTTTAATATAAAAACTACTTCTTACCTACAAATCCAAATCAGAATCGAATTCAGAAGATGAACTGTCGCAACCAATATTTACAATGAGTGGCTCGATCATTTCATTAGTAATATTATCCAACTTTCACATTTTCTCTTCTTCTTTAATCGTATGATTTACTGCCTTTTCCCAGTTTTCAGGCTTCACATTATTTACAGCCTCCAAAAACAACTGTTTAACATCACTCATTTTAAAAGAATTATTTTTTCTTGAAACTTCTCCCTTTATCTGTGCCCATATCAGTTCAATCGGGTTTACTTCGCAATGATATGGTGGTGATCTAACCACCGTCATCCCACGATTTTTTGAAATTTCATCAATTTCATATTTTTTTAATTTCTCTTTATAAAGGGAACACAAATGATACAGTTCTTTTCTCACAGAACCGGGATGGAACTTAATATTCTTTGAATTTAGCCAATTCTGTAAATCTTTTTTTAACCCCTTGGTTGTGGGCATTTTTTCTATAAGTCTCGAGTGATAACTTGCATTATCCATTACTATTATACAGTTCTGAGGAAGAAGATCTATAATTTGTTCAAACCACTCTTTAAAGACATCAGCATTCATGTCCTCATGGTAGTCACCGGTACGAGTAGATTCAAAAGTCAATAAACCACCTTAAACAAAACCGTTTGAACTACCGATGTGTACTATTATTAGTCTGCGCCCCTTTCCTGATGGTGGATTTAAACCAGTAGATAAATTATTTAAAAAAGCCTGTCTTCGACTTGTAACAGTTTCATCTTGCCAAAATTTATTTGGTTTATGTCCCTCGTTGATCCATGTTTCATCTAAATAAAATATATTTCTTCTTTGGTTTCTCATTTCTTTTATAGTCCTTAGGTAATTTCTTCTCCATACTACAATATCGCTTCTTTCTATTAACCCTTTCTGTCCCGGGCCTTAATTTACATGTTGGTCCCTCAGTCTCAGAGGTTTTTTCATGCTACAATATGAGAATAAATATATACGGCAATGGGTCCGCATGACCAGTCTTAGGTGCCAACATTTTGCGGCTTTGGGACCAATAATCTAACATTTTCGGACATATTTCTACGGCATTGGGACCCCAATGGGTCTAAAATTTTATAAGTAGCGCATATTTTCGACTTTGGTGAATTGAGACCATTCCACCTTGAACGTATATATACGGCGGCTGGGACTACAGAGCCACTTTTTAAAAAACATATATATGCGGCGTTGGGACAGAAAGGGTTAAAATAGACTTTCTGGAATGCTTTTTCCATAGAAAACCTATTTCTTTTGAAAGTTTCCATAGTGTGCTTCGACTCATTTCAGGGTAATCCTTATCATCTCCAACCGTGGCAAGAACTTTGTCTACTGTCGGAAATTCTTTTCTAAAGAAGAACGCATGAACTTTCCTTCGAAGTCTTTCTTTTAAAAGATTTTCTAATGGAAATTTTGGTTTTCCTGGAGCTTTACGTGCTGTTTGAAACTCGCCACATTTCTCTTCTTTAACAACTCTGCAAATCGTAGATTTCCCAATACCAAGCGTACTACTAACTAATTCCACTGTGTCATCAACACTTTAACATAAATGTTTGTCTGTAAATGATTTAAAACAATTAAATATTAATGTTTTTTCATTAACTGTTAAAGGACCGATTTTTTGTCGTTTACGCGGCCCTTCCAAATTTTCCATGATCACACTAAAATTCACACTGCACCTTGCAAGTTGCAACTAAACGACATTTAGTAAACTGTCAAGAATACACAACTTGGACTTCTTACCAAATGGAATACCTATAATCGCATTTTCGGTGAAATTTGTTGGGAAAGTATTTATCTACTTATAATTTGATTACTGTAAGAAATTCTTGGAATTAAAATAAAACAAAATTTGCAAATAGGTACTTATTGAAAATAATCTTTTTGGCTTTTGGCCTGTCCAAACCTTTTTCTATTGTTCTGTACAGCTTATGTTTATAAAGGACCAATAAAAGACCCAAAACTTGTAATAGCTCAGGTACATTTATTACAATTTTAGGAAATATTTAGATTATTCTGTAAAAATATTAAAAATGACCGTACTAAGTTTTGCATTAGAAATGCTGTTTTATTACTCTCTCATACATAAAAATAGACTATAGTACAGCGAGAAGACCAGGGTCGGACGGGCCCTTGCCCGATAGTACATATTGACGAATGTGGTCGTAGACTATAGAACCTATTATGGTCCAAATAAAATGGAATAAATTTATTATTTTGTAACTTGTTGACGACTTCTAGAAACAATCCTGAAATCCTTTGATTTTTATGTTCAAATGCGCATTCTCTCAGGTATTCGTTTTATTCGCTACGTCATATGCGTGAGTGTGAAACGTAATTGGTGATTTTTGAAGTGGGTTAAAAACATAGAAATTAACATAAAAAATTAAAAGTACAAGCTAAGCATTGAAAAATAATATTAAAATAATATATTTAAATATTAGCTATATGTGCTTACGTAATTTAATCTTTTTTATTCCCGGCCCAGACATGACGTTCTATAGGTTTTTAATTCGATAATACGCAAACTCGTTTAATTATTGGAATTAATTATTGCACCTACTAGTAATAAAAAAAAAGAGGATGCGACCCATACATACTAAACAATGGAAAACTTGAATTTTTTACATTACGCTCAATTTTAATTAATAAAAATTAAATAAAAATGCTGAATTTCCAACATGTTTTATGTTTCTCAAATAAGCAAATATAAGTATATTCGTTTCAAAATACAACCAAATTTAAAGCCAGGGCCCCCGCTACCATATGTGCAAAGTGTGCAACGCACACGGACGCCTTCCTTTAGGGGCGCCAAACCCCAGGGTCCAAAAAAAATTGCAAAAAAAAATTTGCATAAAAAAAACAAAAATGAATTTTAAAATTAATTTTAATTTTAGAACATATCAGGTGGTAGTTTCTTGATTTCTCCTGTTCAGACATGCCTGGAGCGCTATAAAAGCGATGCATCCCCAAAGGCGTTTTTAAACTGGTTAGTTCACTGGACCGTGCAACAAGTGTATAAAAACAAGTAATCCTATTAATTTTTATATTTAAAGTTATTTTTATTTTGTCAAGTGTTGTGTTGTACAATATTTTGTGTACTACTTTTTTTCTACAAAATTAGGTGCTGAATACCTCCTGACTGCAATTTCAACGGTTTGATTTTTTATGAAATGGTAAGTGATCTCTACTTTATACTATCAACGTAAACCATTTATAGGATACTGGTTATAATTAATTTTTTTTACCCAAATATCTTTTTATCAATTGAAATGTCATGTACGAGTATAAAAAAGTAATTGGTTTTTTATCTATAACTCGCTTAGTTTTTATCTTTTTAAAAAACCATTTTGTAGGGTTTTTTTAAGAACTATAAGATTGAATTAGTTTAATATTTTTTCTGCCTTTATTTTTGAAAGGGTTTAAGCTGAAAGGGTTGAAAAAAATTGCTTTATACTCAAATATGCAAAATTGGTGCTTATTATTCCTAATTATTTATTCGGTTTTTCAGGATAAAAGAAAGAGATCTTCAGTTGCGAAGTTTCGCGAACAAAAGAAACTGAGACTACAAAAAAGGGAAAAATGGCTAGATCTTTAAAACATTTCTTGCAAAACAATCAAGATTCCACGGGGACTATCGATGCGACCAAATCTCAAGATTCTAAATCCGTAATATCAGTAATAGAAGTGGACCATCTGAAATTTCAACAGAGGCGACCACGGTAACATCAGGTCCGGCAACAAGGGGCGGCGGTTGTAGCAGCAAAACAGCTTCTACTGATGTAAAGCCCGATGAAGATATGACACCATACACGTCTACAGTACTTGAACCCACTTCAGGTAATTCAGCTTGGGTAAGATGTTCGGTAATGTCAGCTACTGATGGTTAGCGATACCTATATTATAGAAAAAAATCTAAATTTGAAAACTTAACAAAAATTAAACAAATAATCATTTTTATATTCATACGCATATGGCTATCATAAACAAAGGATAAATCGATAAACCTGTAACTGAACCTGGCATGGAACGAATCCAACAATAAAAAAAATATCAAGTTTGACAATCCTCAAAA